ATGGGGAGACTGTCTACAAATTATATTCTTTCTATTATAGGGGATTATATAAAGAGAATACATTTAAATTCTTTTCCTTTTTGCTTTAACTTTGGTGATGATGTACAGTATGGTATAAACCTGATTCTTCTCACTTTCCTAAGAAAATGACAAATAATTAAAACATTAAGCATGTTTCTCTTTCACTTCTCTACTCATCCGCTTGTATTTCTAAGTTTCCCTTCTTGTCTCTGCTCTGCATTCAGAACTGCCTTTTCTTTTCCTACTGAGTGAAACTGCAAATTTAAGGTGGAGAAGTGAAAAAATCAGGAATATTTTAAACAGCTTTACATAAAAAGCTCATTTGCCATGTCTAACCCTCCATCAGTTAACCATGTAAGCCTGTTTCTTAAAATACAACGTCTAGTGAAGCAGATCATAAAACTTACTTTTCCAATTATTTTCTTCAGAACAAACAATGGCAGTTCTATTTTATTTTTCTCCTAGCTCATTTTACTTTATTATTTTAAAATTCTCTAATTATTCTTCAGTTGTTTGGTACTGAACTCTAGGCAGGGAGTGGAAACAAGAGCTAAGTCAAACCAGGTATAGTGGCTCACACCTGTAATTCCAGTACTTTCGGAGGCTGATGCAGGAGGATGGCTTGAGTTTAGGAGTTTTAGATGAGCCTGAGCAACATAGCAAGACCCTGTCTCTATAAGAAATTAAAATTTTAAAAAATTAGCCAGGTATGTGGTACATGCTTGTGGTCCCAGCAACTCTGGAGGCTAAGGCGGGAGGATCACTCGAGCATAGGAGGTTGAGGCTTCATTGAGCTGTGACTGTAACACTACACTACAACCTATGTGCACTACAGCCTGTCTATAAAAACAAACAAACAAACAAACAAAATCTAAGTCAGTACTGAGGAAGGAGATTACCTTGGAATACACAATCTAATAGTGATCTGACTCTTTCAAACAGAATAGCAAATAAACGTGTGATTGTACAGTCTGTATTGCTGCTAGCAGTGATCTCCTTCAGTACTGAGAAACATTGCGAGTCGGATTTTGTAGTGGATGCTTTCCGTATGCTAGTTAACTTAAGCTTCGAAATAAATCTGCCAGGTTGGTATTATGTTCATTTTATTGGAAAGGCAACTGAAACTCTGAACCACAATAACTACAGTTAGTTTAAAGTTGCAGTTTTTTTTAAAGAAAACTCCTTATCTTTCTAATTTGCTTCACTAGGTGCTGAAAAATGTAAAAAGAAACCAAAATCCCGACATAATTTATTGTTTGATTATAATAAAACTCTGGGACAATGTACAACATCACCAACTACTATAAACAAACAGCCTTCTGAAAATTGAGACAAGTTATGTCAAGAAAACTTGAGAGACTTATTTCCACATAGCCAAGTAAATAATTTCACATGAGACTAAACTCTGTCATTTTATATCTTATTTAAATAAAAAAAATTTTTCTTCTTAGTATCTCAGTATACTTATTGTCATCCTTTCTTAAGAGTTTTTTAGACCAGAAATCCCTAGCTCATAGAGATAGAAGCAGGAATGAATAAAAGCTTTGAGGAAAATAGTATTTTACTCATGAGACTAGGCCTTAAAGTTAATGTAATTTTAAGACAATAGTCTCCAACAACGTGTTTCTCACCTGTTTGTAACTCCAGTGGAAAAATACCTTTGAAGTCCAAGGCAAAGCTCATGCTCAGAGAAGAAATAAAGCTAGAGATGAAGTCTTGTTCACTTTCATACCACAATTAAACTGTATTTTGCCAGCACTTTTTAGTTTTCCTTGAATTAAAGTACATATATGACTACTGTTGCTCTCAATTTAATTTTCTCTTTGTAATAGATGACAAAGGCTCACCTCAACCACGATACTACTTGGCTAGTTTTTCAAAGCAGGGGTCCCTGGTCCACAGACCATGGACCAGTAGTGGTCCATGACCTGTTAGAAACAGGGCTGCATGGCAGGAAGGGAGCAGCAGGCAAGCGAGAAAGCTTCATCTGTATTTACAGCCACTCCCTATCACTCACATTGCAGCCTGAGTTCTGCCCCTGTCAGATCAGCGGCAGCAGTAGATTCTCATAGGAACACAAACCATATTGTGAACTGCACATGGGAGGAATCTAGGTTGCACTCTCCTTATGAGAATCTAATGTCTGATGATCTGATGTGGACCTGTGGCCGGGATACTAGAGCTGGGGAGTGGCTGCAAATAAAGATTAACATTAGCAGAGAGGTTTGATGGCACAGAGGCAATAATAAACCAATTGCTTGCAGACTCATATCAAAACTCTATCAGTGAGTGACAAGTGACAAGCTACATCTGGTGGCAGGCTTTATAGTAGCAAGTGAGTTGATAGACTTCAATTACACAGCTGCATTTGGTGGCCTTAAGAGTATGTTTAAGACAACTTCAAATATCCATGCGTTCTGGATTAAAGTCAAGGATGAATATCCTGAAATTGCAACAAAAGCACTGAAAAGCCTGCTCCCATTTCCTAAATCCTGTCTTTGAAAAGCGGGGTTTTCTGCAGTGACAGCAGCCAAAGGAGGTTATGGAATAGCCTGGACATAACGACACACTTTGGGTGTCATCGTTTCCCATCAACCCCAGATGGGACCGTCTAGTTGCAGGAAAGCAAGCTCAGAGCTCCCACTGATTCTACATAGTGAGTGGTATAATCTACCTCATATTGAGTTGTATAATTATTTCATTATATAGTATAGTGTAATAAAAATAGAAATAATGGCATAGTAAATGTAATGTGTTTGAGTCATTCCCAAACCTTCCCCCATCCCTGGTCCATGGAAAAATTGTCTTCCATGAAACTGGTCCCTGGTGCCAAAAAGGTTGGGGACCACTGTCAAAGAAACAATGCTAAATGCAGTCATCAAATCTCTGCATAATGTAAGCATCAAAATAATTCATCCAGATTAGAGGTATTTTAGGATATTTTTCTTTTTTTATATTGAGCTTGCCTGTATTGACTATATTATCTAAATAATTGGCAGATTTTATATTTCATTTTGTCAACTGAGGCACATCTTGAGAATCTAAAGCATTCATATGCTTTTATTTCTAAAGCTGAAGAATCTTTTGTCATTTACCAGGTAAGAGCATGGATAAGAATCATATGTCCTCTGTTAAAACTGTGGCTGTCCCTTCATAGATGGTAATCATTAGTTGAAATGTTTTATACAATTATGTATTTAAAGTAAATGGTCTTTCACTCTGTGAATGTGAGTTATCATAGAAATGGATTCTGCCCCCGCAAAACAATGTGGAAACTTGGGGTGGCTGTGGTGGCTCATGGCCATAATCCCAGCACTTTGGGAAGCCAAGGCATATAGATCGCTTGAGTCAAGGAGTTTGAGACCAGCCTGGGCTACATGGTGAAACCCTGTCTCTACCAAAAATACAAAAACTAGCTGAGCATGGTGGTGCATACCTATGGTAACAGCTTCTCAGCAGGCTGAGGTGAAAGAATCACTTGAACCCAGGAGGCACAGGTTGCAGTGAGCTGAGATCACACCACTGCACTCCAGCCTGGGTGACAAAGGGAGACCTGTCTCCAAAAGCAAAAACAAAAACAAAAAAACAATTTGGAAACTCAGATTGGGAGCTCAGTCTTGTGAAATAACTGATGGCATCATTCAATTCTCTAGTGATCAAGAGTCGAGGATTTTTTTTTCTTTTTCCTCTTCTCTAAAAAAAACAAAAAAGAAAAACAAGGAAGCAAAACAAAAGCAAAAATCTAGCTGTTGACCTCAAAAATATTTTACTTCTGGAGATAATTTTACAGGTGCAAGAGTGATTTCAATCCCATACTTTTCAACTTGGATAAAGTTCTAAATAAGGGACAGGAATGGAAAATTTGGAAACTTCAAAGTGCTATTTGAAGCTATTTATATCCTTTGTTTCTTCTATGTAAACCTTTAAGGTGCAAGTTAAAAACTAGGGCCAGGGGCTGAACGTGGATATGGAAGTTCTGCACATTACCACTATTTTCTGACATCTCCTCTCTTCATGAAATCAAATTATCCTTCTGGCCTCTGAAGACTTTAGAACCTGATACCTCTGCTTAAATCCACCTTGTAAACCTAATATAATAATTCTTCTTCTTCTTTTTTTTTTTTTTGAGATGGAGTCTCACTCTGTCAGCCAGGCTGGAGTGTAATAGCGTGATCTTAGCTCACTGCAACCTCTGCCTCCCAGCTTCAAGCAATCTCCCGCCTCACCCTCCCAAGTAGCTGAGGTTACATGCATGTACAACCATGCCTGGCTGATTTTTGTATTTTTAGTAGAGATGGGGTTTTGCCATGTTGGCCAGGTTGGTCTCGAACTCCTGACCTCAAGTGATCCACACACCTTGGACTCCCAAAGTGCCATGATTACATGGATGAGCCACCACGGATGGCCTAATATGAGAATTATTTTAGGTAAAATAGTAAAGGATGTAATTGTGACCTATTATTCATACTATTCAGGTATTTAGCACAGTGCCTGCACATAGTCATTACTCAATAAATCACAGCGTAATAGCGCTTGGTAATATCTTCCAGGCATTTGAGAAGTTCATCTTACCTTTTTCTAGTTTTCTATAAAAATTCTTTTTTCAAGAGACACGGCTTGCTCTGTCACCTACACTGGAGTGCAGCAGTGTGACAATAGCTCATGTAACCTGGAACTGCAGCCCAAGAACCCTCCCACCTCAGCCTCTGTAGTAGCTAGGACTGCAGGTATATGCTATCATGCTTGGCTATTTTTTTAATTTTAATTTTTGGTACAGACAGGGTCTTACTATGTTGTCCATGCTTGTCATGAACACCTTTATTCGAGTGATCTGCCTGCTTCAGCCTCCTAAAGTGCTGGGACTACAGGCATGAGCCACTCTACCCAGTCTAGACTAAGTTCCTGTCCCTACTTCGTTCTGTGTCATTAGAGAATGCCCATATTTCATTTGTAAACAAACAAGATTTTCTTTAACTTACCTTGTCCAAAATGAGCTGCCTTGTACACGGCTTGAACACCCGGGTATCCTAAACTCCTACAGACGACCTGTCCAACTCGCACCTCCCAGCGATCGTCACAAACTGTGCCCCATTGGCCGCTGTGGAATATCTCCACTCTCCCTTCGTGAGGGCCGCTCCCACCAACCAGTCGAACTTTCTTAAATGGAGCTGTAAAAAAAGACAAGCAAGTATTAATTACGTACATACTGTTTTATAACACGGTTTTAAACACACACAAAAAAACATTTTAACACATTTTTCCAGTAAGTTCAGCTATTGGAATAAATATTAAACTTTCTAGCACCACCTATTGGTAAAGAGTTTAACTGCAAATACTGCAGTTTTAAAAGCAGAAGTGCAAAATCCAATCTGTCTTACATGTAATTTATATATACGAGGACACTTCAAAGATTTTGTTCCAATGACTTTCAGTTTTAACAGATACAAGTTTACTAATGCGATATAGATTTCTAATACTATTAAAACATTTATAACTAAATGGTTCATTATTTTCTTGATACACAAATATACAAACTTATGAACATATAATGCAGATACTTTCAATAGGAGGTCGAGGAGCAGATATTTTAGAATATCATAAACACAAAAATAGGTGACCAAACCTCATATCTTTTACCAAGGGAAACAAGGTAACTATAGTAACCACATTCATTTAGAAATAGCAAAGAATTTCCTTGTTGTGGGGTTCCTGAATTTTGTACCAAAGATTTTTGTGGTTTTCTTTCTTAGAAAAAAATATTAATGAGATTTAAAAAATCAGACAATTTTACGTATTTTGAGAAATGACTAAAATAGTAAACTACAAAGAAACTTTTTTATAACTATTAATTTTATTCTGTAATGTCTAATCAAAATGACCAAATGTACAATAAACTTTTGTAAAATCTTGATCATGCTACAGAAAGATTTACATAAATACAAAATTGTTCTTTTTTTTGAAAACATATGTGTGTGTGTGTGTGTATGTATATATATATATATATATATATATATATATACACTTTGACCTAAGCACAGATTAAATAAAATAGTACAACAAATATAAGAGCAGTTCACTTGGAATATCAAAATTCTTTAAGCAGCCTGTATTATTCTGCTAAGTATTTATGTAGAAAATTATTTGGCTAAAGAATATGAAAGGCAGAATGAAACATATTTTTTAAAATTTAGTTAATACCAAATACAAATAATATTTTCTAATCATAAAAGCAAATGAATAAATGCAATTCTATTTAAACATATCTTTTCAAATATCAGTTTAAGAAAAGCATTATAAAGAAAAGCAAGATGTAATTGTCACAACAAAAATATCTCTCTAATGTGAAAACGGAGATTTACAGTGTGGCATTTTGGAGCTCCATTAATTGAAGAAATATTCAGTAACTTTTTTTTCTCCAATTCGGATTTAGTTTATTAGAACAGCAATCTAATAATATTTAAGGTTGTCAGATTGCAGTTCTAACAAATGTTTTTAACTTATGCTTATTACTGTTTTAACAGCAATTTAGTAACATTTAAAAAGATTAGATTACCGACAATTTCCTGTAATGAAACTGAGTGACCTGAGCCATGCAGAAAGATAAAAGGTAGCATGTTAATATATATAATTACAATTATTCTGTTCATTCTTCCAAAATATAATTTGGTGCTAAATACTGAATTGGTGTAATCACATCTGAGTGCATAAGCCCTTCTTCACTTAATAAGCGTAAATAAAAACATTTTTAAAAATGAAAATAGTTTGTTATTACAGTATTTCAACTTTTAATTATTAGTAAAATTCCTGAGTGGCCCAATAATTTCCTGTAATTGCCTAAAGAAAATGAGAAAGAAAAATCTAAGAATTGATTGTGTAAAGTCTTTACACATTAGAGTCCTATTTTATTAACTACTGTGATGTTCAAATGTTTATTTTTATACAAATCAACTATGTCCAAAAATAATATATTTATCATGCATGCTATGAAAAAATAGACATATTCAAATATTTGATTATATAAGCCTACTTGACCTATTGTCCAAACAAGTGTATGTAAGCATTCTCACCGCCTGTTGTTTACCTCTTACTCCTTCCAAAATGTCATGAATCATCCTTGCTTGTCCTGGAGCAGTGGTTCTCAAACGATAATATGCAGTAGAATGACAGATTAACCTCATGCTGAGTTTTTCATTCAGTACATCTTGAGTAGGGCTCAATAATTTGCACTTTTAACAAGCTCCCAACAGCTAATGCTGTTGGTCCAGGAACCACACTTTGAGAACCACTAACCTGGATGACTGCAGTATATATTTAGAAGAGGAGACATATTAGATCAGAAACAGATGGTGCTGCTGATGCAAGCCATTGATCTCATTTATTGTAAAAAGAATGACTGTAAATTTCTAGAAAATTCCCTATGCTCAAGGGGTCTTGGGGTGGGAGTAGGTACTTCTATTCAAATTATTTAGAGCCAAATATGATTGGGTATGCTAATCCTTATCTGTCACCATAAATATTTTTCAGCTACAAATCAACTATTGACAGGTGACCACACATTACTGATCCTTGACCATCTCTGAAGTAATACAAAGGAAAGATCTCTAAATAGGTCAGTAGACTCATTTGAGAGTTGGCTTCACCTACCATTCAACTGCTCTGTTTTGGTGGTGTGGAAAGGTTCATTTTGTCATCAACCTCGATCATAGCCTTTTCTTTTTCCTTTTATTGAGACAGAGTATCGATCTGTTGCCCAAGCTGGAGTGCAATGGTGCCTCTAGGCTCACGGCAACCTCGCCTCCTAGGTTCAGGTGATTCTCTTGCCTCAGTCTCCCGAGTAGCTAGGACTACAGGCACCTGCCACCATGTCCAGCTAATTTTTGTATTTTTAGTACAGACAGTGTTTCACCAGGTTATCCAGGCTGGTCTCGAACTTCTGGCCTCAGGTAATCTACCCACCTCGGCCTCCAAAAATGCTGGGATTACAGGTGTGAGCCACCATGCCTGGCCGATCATAGCATTTTCTCTGTAAGTGAAGGATCAGATCTTCTCTGAAATTACCTAACTCATTGTCATAGAGATGTAATGAATGTCGATGGTTTCTTTAGTGTTGAACTAAAGTCTGATAGGTTTTTTTTCCATTTGGGAATTTTTATCTTATATATAAAGATTTCAGAAGACAGTAATATATGTGTGTGTATGTGTGTACACACATACATATACATTTTTTTTTCTGGATAGCCGTTACCTCTTAACTTTATTTGCATAGACATTTTCTAGATTCAAATCAAATAAACACACATAAACACTGACTATGTGCATAAACAATGATTCCCTGTATTATTATTTAAACAGAAACAGAAACTACAGTAACTTAAACCAAAATGGAAATCATAATGCATTTTAAGGATCATGGGATATTTCATAGAACCAAAGGCTAAGATTATAGTTAGGTATCTGGAATAGCTGACCAAGATCTGAATCTGCCTAGGAGTCTCCAACTTGTGTCCAAGCTTCTTTTTGTAGGTTGCTTTATTATCTTTTGTTGCAAACTAGATATTATTGCTCTCCAGTTCACTTGATAGAACATGTCTGCTAACAGCTCCTACACTTATATTTTAGACTTCTCAATGACAATTACTGTCTCTTTCTCAGTGACAGACTCACAGTTCTGGGTAACCTAACTTGATATTTTACAGCCTATTTCTTAGTGATAGATTCTAAAATATCTAAGGAAGTTCTCCTATGGCCTAGAAGATTATCATTTTAATAATCTTGGTGCATTTATGCAAATATTTGCTATCTATTTCTTTTTTTTTTTTTTTTTTTTGAGATGGAGTCTTGCTCTTGTTGCTCAGGTGGAGTGTAGTGACCTGATCTCGGCTCATTGCAACCTCCGCCTCCTAGTTTCAAGCAATTCTCCTGCTTCAGCTTCCTGAGTAGCTGGGATTACAGGCATCTGACATCACACCTGGCTAATTTTTTGTATTTTTTTTTTTTTTTTTTTTTTTGAGTAGAGACGGGGTTTCTTCATGTTGGTCAGGCTGGTCTCGAACTCTTGACTTCAGGTGATCTGCCCACCATGGCCTCCCAAAGTGCTAAGATTAAAGGCATGAGCCACTATGCCCAGCCTGCTATCTGTTTCTCTACAGAAAGAGTTTGGGAATCCCTGGTAGTATTACAAACATAATAGACGAGAATGATAGAGGATTTCATGGGGATATTCTTGCCAAGTGACTTCTGGAATAAATAAGGTGATGATTAATCTCTGCTCAGCTTTCCAATCTAAGCCTTGAGAAATTTCTTCCCCTGCATTTCTTTTTACTTTAGTTATATAACTCTTCACGTTTTTCAAATAAGTCCCATTCTCCTTTATTTCTGGGGCTTTTGTTCCTGTCTGGAATGTTCCTTCTTCCCTTCCCTCTTCCCCTCTCATTTCTCCTCTCTCAGTCTCCAAATTTGGATTGGTTACTCTATAGCACTATGACAAATGCTATACCAAATCTCTGTAAACTCGTTTTCCCTATTAGTCTGAAAGAAACCCCTTATGGTCATCTTTTCAGTGCCTGACAGAATGCAGGTTGTCACTTAGTAGTCACTTGATGAAGAGTTATGGCATGAATGAGTAAATGAATGAATGGTGAGCTTCTCTGGATAAATGGACTGCATTACCCAGTGAGATTAAATTGACAAATGCTTAAAATAACAATATAAGAAACAGATTTTAACATTTCACAAGTCTTTAGAGGGAATAGAATATAGTTTCTATGTATAGAAACAGAAAAATCATGAAGGAAAGATCAATTTTACTGGCATAAATATGAGTGTTTTTATGGAGAAAACCCACATGGCTGGGTTTAGTGGGAGGCCTGATCAGAGAAGCCTTAGACGTTAGAAAATCTGATTTTGTCAGCTCAGTGAGCAGATCTCTCTCTTAGAGGCAGACTAATACTAAACAGAATCTTGGGACTAAATGTCAATTCAATTTACAATGAGAAATGTAATTGCCTCAAAAACTAGAATATTTGAATCTGTTTGACAAGGTCATTTTCTCCCCTTGGGCAATCTGCATGGGAAGCCAAATCACAAGCAGTGAACTATTCATTTAATTAATTTATTAATTTACAATGAGACCTAGCACTGAGATTTTGCTTCTGGGACTGACTGGCCA